CTCTCTCTGTCAAATAAATAAATAAAATCTTTTTTAAAAATAAATAAATAAATAGTTAAAAAAAAAAAAGATCTAACATGGACCAAAGCTTAGGATTTAGGCTACAACACACACACACACACACACACACACACACACACACACACAGGCCAACCTCTGGGAAAGCCAACATATAAGGAACAAGTTGATAAAGAAAACTCACAAAAGAATTTAAGAACAAATATTTAAAGAGCAAAGCCAGGAGAAAGAAATGTACAGAAGCTAAGAGAGGGTTTTTCAGAAGCAGGGAGAGGACAACAATGTCAAACGCTACCCAAATATCACCTAAAGGACTGAAAAGTATCTATTTGGTCAGCAATTAAGTCACTGATGACTTTAACGAGAGCAGTTTCAGGGTAGCAGAGGAGTTAATCAGATCGTAGCAGTTTAAGGAGTGAATAGGAGGTTGAAGAGTACAGAGGAGCTCCATCAAGAACCTTACATGAAGTATTGTTATAGATGAATTATGTCTGCAACTTATATACTGATTTTCATTAAGTTCATTTCTGGAGATTTAAGATAGAATTGACATATATTTACATTATGTTATATGTCATATATATATATATATATATTTTTTTTTTAAAGATAGAATTGGCAGGACTTGATGATTAACTGATGTCAGAGTACCCACTAAACTTGCATCTTCTTGACCCCCTCCTTCCCATCTAGTAACCAAAGAATCAAAATACATATATTATCTATTCTTTTTACAATGTCACCTGACAACCCAAATTAATTCTATAGGAAAGCACAAAATTATTCCATATAAATGTCATTTGTACATTTTGGGAATTCAGACTATGTGTAGTTTAGTTTCTTTTTTTATCAGGGAGTGGGTATTGATGGGATGTGAAAGTTGCTAATAAGTAGGTTACCATACATCTACATTTGCCTGGGACTGTCCAGGTATAATCCTGTTTTCCTGATATAGTACTCCCTTCACCTCAAGAGTGTTCTGGTTTGCACTATAAAGCATTTGATCACCTTACCTGTAAGCCTCTTTTGAGGAATTATTATCTCAAGTTACTCTAGTAAGGACTAAGTCAATAAAATACCAAAGAGACTCTTAAGAAAACTCTTAACTATATAAGAGCTATTATTACTATAGCTACTTAAGAGAATAATAGTTTAAAGTGTACAAACCTTTTGGAGATATGGCCATATTGACATTATCACAATAGAAAATCCTGTAAAGAGGCAAAATTTGTTATTTATACTTAAAATGATTTCATCACTATTTATAGATAGAATTTTTTGAACTATAACATGGACCTTATTTATTTATTTCAAGATTTTATTTATTAATCTGACAGAGAGAGCGCACAGGGAGAGCGGGAGCAGCAGGCTCCCCGCTGAGCAGGGAGCCCGATGCGGGGCTCGATCCCAGAACCCCGGGATCATGACCTGAGCTGAAGGCAGATGCTTAACCAACTGAGCCACCCAGGCGCCCAATACTTCATTCTTTTTATTTTA